AGCTCGCCTTTGTACGAGACATGGTTAGAGGATTTCATCGGTTTAAGCTTCAACATCTTTCTGGTTAGATGAGTGGTCTGACTTGGGAAGGATTCACAATTTAACAGGACTAAGAGGACTTATCGACATAGGGATCGCTGGAAATGCAACTGTGGAAATGCTAATGAACATACATTGTCAACGATAACATCGTGTAAAATATCTGAACCGAATTGAAGAGAAGATAGACAAAATCAGTCCCTCGAGTACAAAGAGAGATTCTCAATGATAAATTGCAATGATATTAACTTTATCATTTATACTAACGTTCCTACATAGTTTTTTCAAAGAAACAATTACATCACGACAAAATCACTTTTATATCAAGTGAAGTATAAACCAAAGAGATAAAGAGGGAGTCAACAACAGAAAATGAAGATGAAAATTTTCCTAAATCAAACCTATTACAAAATCATTTTTCTTATTCCTTTTGTTAATTTTCTCTACTGTATTACAAAAAAAACTTTAATACTATTTTGCTTGGACTGCATTATAGAAGAGAGAAACATTTGGAAATTGAACGGACCTGTCAGACCGGATCCAAGATAACCAGATTTCGCAGAACCGACATTGAACCGGATTGAAATTTCCCCAATTGAAGATTTCTAGGGCTCACTCAATTCAATTTTGTTTCTTCTTCGCCACGGGAGATTTCACTGGAAGCCATTTTCGAAGATGAGCAGATTAGTTGCGATTTCGGCCAAGAGATTTGTTCATCTGGAGAAAGGTAATCATGGAACTTCTTCTCCCTCGTTTTCTCTTTGCTGGAGACGAGTTTTCTCTGGTCTCAGTGATGGTTACAGAGATATTCTGAGAAATGGGCTTCGTGATTTGAAGTTAGACGATGCTATTTCTTTGTTCAGTGAAATGGTCAAGTCTCGTCCTTTACCTTCCATTATTGAGTTCAATAAATTGTTGAGTGCTATTGCGAAGATGAACAAGTTTGATGTTGTGATTTCTCTGGGTGAGAAGATGCAAATGATGGGGATTTCACATAGTCTCTATACATACAATATTTTCATTAACTGTTTCTGTCGCCGTTCTCAACTCTCTCTTGCTTTAGCTATTATTGGGAAGATGATGAAACTCGGCTATGATCCTGATYTTGTCACGCTTTCTTCGCTTCTCAATGGTTTCTGTCATGGGAATAGGATTTCAGATGCAGTATCTCTGGTTGATCAAATGGTTGTAATGGGATATAAACCTGATACTGTGACATTTACAACTCTAATCCATGGACTCTTTCTTAACAACAAAGCTTCAGAAGCGGTGGCTCTAGTTGACCGAATGGTTAGAAAAGGCTGTCCTCCGAGTTTAGTTACTTATGGTGTGGTAATAAACGGAGTTTGTAAGAGAGGTGATACTGATTTCGCTTTAAATCTGCTCAAGAAGATGGAACAAGGGAAAATAGAGCCGAATGTTGTGATCTATAACACAGTCATCGATGGTCTTTGCAAATACAAACATGCCGATGATGCACTTGACCTATTCAATGAAATGGAGACCAAAGGAACTAGACCAGATGTTTTTACCTACAACTCRCTCATAAGTTGTCTTTGTAGTTATGGAAGATGGAGTGACGCCTCTCGATTACTTAGCGATATGCTTGAGAGGAACATCAACCCAAATGTTGTCACTTTCAATGCATTGATCGATGCATTTMRGAAAGACGYAAAGCTTTTGGAGGCTAAGAAATTGTATGAGGAGATGGTCAAAAGGTCTATAGATCCTGATATTTTCACTTACAATTCACTGATCAATGGGTTTTGCATGAACGATCGCCTTGATGAGGCCAATGATATGTTTGATTTGATGGATAGCAAGGACTGTCTCCCAAACGTAGTGACATATAATGCTCTTATAAATGGATTTTGCAAGTCTAAGAGAGTAGAGGATGGCATGAAACTCTTTCGTGAGATGTCTCAAAGAGGATTGGTTGGGAATACAATCACTTACACCACTCTAATCCAAGGCTTTTTTCAAGCTGGAGATTATGAGAATGCCCAACAAGTTTTCAAACAAATGGTTTCTGATGGTGTGCCTTGTGATATTATGACATACAACATTATGTTAGATGGACTTTGTAAAAACGGGAAGCTAGAGAAAGCATTGGTCATATTCCAAGATCTACAAATGAGTGGTATGGAACTCAATATTGTCACATATAGTATTATCATTGAAGGGATGTGTAAGGCTGGTAAGGTTGAAGATGGGTGGGATTTGTTTTGTAGCCTCAATCTCAAAGGAGTGAAGCCTAATGTTGTGACATACAATACAATGATCTCAGGCTTGTGTGGGAAAGGTTTGAAGGAGGAAGCAGATGCCTTGTTCAGAAAAATGAAAGAAGATGGGCCGTTACCAGATAGCGGTACTTATAATACACTGATTAGGGAATACCTTAGAGATGGTGACAAAGTTGAATCAACTGAACTCATCAACAAAATGAGAAGTTGCGGGTTCTGTGGAGATGCTTCGACAATAAGCATGGTCTTTAATATGTTGAATGATGGGAGATTGGAAAAAAGCTTTCTGGACATGCTTCCTTGAAACAGTTTATCCTCAATAATCTCCCTTTCGAAGCATCTGTGAGGTGTATGTTGCCTTTATAGTGATTACTTCTCAACTCAGTCCTTATGTTCTAATGTTACATGTATATATAATTTTGGTTGCTACTGTGTGTGAGAGAGGTTTTATGAACATGACCTGATTTTGTTGTTTATATTGTTAGGCTTGATTATGGTTTTAGTTTAGATTTGGTTTTTAACAAAAAACTTATGTTACATTTCTTAATTTGAATGTTTAGACAAAGTTCTAGTTCCGTTTGGTTCAAAATGTATACACAAGTTTCTGAATTTGTTTCTCTATTAGAAATCAATATATATATATTGATAACTGTTCTCTAAAGAGTCTACCAAAAATGAAACCAATTAACCGAAATTCCGAATGCATGAGAAGGTTGAAATAACCGGATTTCTTCGAACCGGTCTAAATCCAAGACCGACATTGAACCGGTTCTGGATACATAACTGATAATTCTGAAGCCTGGTTTAGGGATTTCGCCGGAAAGTTGAGATCTCCAGATTCTCGAAGCTAAACTGTTAGGAATTTATATGATCGATTGATTGCTTTTTTGTTAACTTAACACAGCTAATTTGATCACCGAGTTCCCCGAAGGTACCTCTCGGGTGGGAACCGTCTCCCACAACTACTTCCACTAGCAAGCAAAGGGATTACATAAACGCTTGAAGCGTTCTCGTTGTGTTTCAAGTGACAAGAGAAGGACAACACAACAAGTAAGAAAGACCGAAGAAACTTTATCTCTCAAAGACATGGCGACTTCTCTTTCGCCCTAAGGTTCTGGTCTCTCTCGCCTCCTTGTTCTCTCGTGTCATGTTAGGGTTCTTGTCGAATCTTCTCTGCCTTTTATAACAAAGCTTCGTCTCTGTTTGTTTTTCCTTATGCTGCGAGACCGACTTGTAATATTTRCTTTTCTCTTCATAGAACGTGAAACCAAGAACCGATCATAATGTATTATGGGCTCTATCTCAAATTGGCCCAAATGAAATATATAMACCCAAAAGCCCAATATCTCACATAAACACTGTGCTTTTCGTTGTCAGACTTTTTCTGGGAATCGAAGCTGTTTCTCGAGAAAGTCCTTGGTGGGTTTCCAGGAAAGGTTGCGGACAAGAGATATCTACACTCTACTCTCTCTCTCTGATCAAAGGTTTGTGCTCCCTCTTTGTTGTATCTCCTTTCAAATTTGTCTCGTTTCATGTAAAATTTATAGTTTTTAGTAGAATTTTGAGGATATTTTGTTACACTGAAGATTCTCTCGGAACATTAGAGAAAAAAGTTTATGTTTTTGGATTCGATTTTTGGTAATCTCTGCAAAAAGTTGTATTCTTGCCTTTAGAACATGGTCTCATTGATTTTTGTTATGTGTAAAGTTTTTTCTCTGTTTTAGAGAATTTGAAGAAGAGAAAAAAGGAAGTTTCTTTGGGTTTTAAGAAATCTCTCTCTCTGAGTCTTTTTTTCTTGCAGGCAAGTTTCTTTCAAGATGGCGTTATTTGGCATCTCCCGTATTTCTCGACGGTTGTTGAAATCTTCCGTCTCAGCAACTGCATCTTCCTTCTCTGTTTTCCAATCTCAACATATATCCTTGTCCAAACCTGTTACTACTTCACATTACATGAATCCTTTCCCTAAGTATCCTTCATGGAATCCTAATTACCAAGTATGGAGTAAAGACGCGGAACWGCATCGAGAAATCTTTCTGGGAGTTGGCTGGAATTACAGATTAGTTGCTGGAATGTCTTCGTCCTCTTCGGTTATGGAGGGAAGTCCTAAGAAAGATGATAAGGAGAAGAGTGGTGTTCAAGAAGCTTCTTGGATAGATTTGTATTTGCCAAAAGAAGTTAGAGGTTATGCTAAGCTTGCTCGGTTGGATAGACCGATTGGAACTTGGTTGCTTGCCTGGCCCTGTATGTGGTACGTTTGAATAATGAGTCTTCGGTAATGTAGCTTAGAATCATGACAMTACATTTTTTTGGGGATATGCAATTCAAAGGATGGTTAATGTTACAGAGATAAGTAAATATATCAAAATTCTGAGTTTTCATCATTCTTGTATAGGTCAATTGCTTTGGCTGCTGATCCTGGAAGCCTTCCAAGTTTAAAAYTGATGGGTTTATTTGGTTGCGGAGCAGTACTTCTTAGGGGTGCTGGCTGTACTATAAATGATCTGCTTGATCGGAACATAGATACAAAGGTCAGTTGGTTTTCTACGCTATCTGAATTAGGCAATTTYCTAACAAAGACAAGTGATGTGACTGATGTCTAATTTATAGATCCCTTGAGTATCTTGGTTTAAGAAATATGTTCGGTCTCTGTCACTATGGRAGGGAAAAAATATTTCTGCTTTGCCATCTGGAAGTACTCTTGATACTTGTATGTCGGATCAATTTATGCCAACATTCTATCAWYCAAGTCRAGTCACATTTCGATTTTGTCTAATATAGTTGCATGTACTYATGCATTTGGAAGATGTTTTTGGATTGAAATATGTGTMTAGTASCTAAGGTATCTACACAGCTTTCATGAAATTAGATTCATTATTTAATAAACAAAGATGGTGTACTTATAAGAATATTTGAGACTCAAGATTTTAATTGATTGTTTTTTTTTTTTAGATTATGTTGTCTGAGATATTGCGTACTTTTTCTATCCAGGTCGATCGTACAAGATTAAAACCTATTGCCAGTGGTCTTTTGACACCATTTCAAGGGATTCAATTTCTTGGGCTACAATTGCTTTTAGGCTTAGGGATTCTTCTCCAACTTAACAACTACAMGTTGGTTTGGAATTTTTCCGTCCCCTTAAGTCGCGTATATGCAAGTGTTTGTTTAAATTCACATACACATATGTAGTTGGCCCAAATTCTGAACACATAATGTCATGCCATTAACTTCTTCTTCTACCTGAGCTCATTTCAGTCCGTATATTCTGCAGCATTGCTCTAGGGGCCTCATCTTTGTTCTTCGTCTTCTCCTACCCTCTTAGAGATTTACATTTTGGGTAACATAAATTTATTCTGGTTTCTCAATGTTAAGACAGTATATTTTCTTCTCGGTCTTTTTTTTATAGATTCTATTATTTTTTGTTGCAGCCTCAAGCATTTTTAGGTTTGACCATAAACTGGGGAGCATTGTTAGGATGGGCTGCCATTAAAGGAAGCTTAGGAACGATGGTTGTACTCCCTCTTTATATCTCAGGAATCTGCTGGACCCTTGTTTATGATACTATTTACGCACATCAGGTASAGTCGCTTCATTCCTAGTGTAATTTTGGAGGTTTTTGCTTGAAATTATTTTGTTTCTTCGTGGGTTAATGTGAAAGGATTGATCATAGTTGTCTCCAGGACAAAGAAGATGATTTGAAGGTTGGTGTTAAGTCAACGGCTCTTAGATTCGGTGATGATACAAAGCTTTGGCTTACTGGATTT